AGTAAGACTCTGACTCTAAAAAAAAAAAGAAAGAAACATGTAATTTATTAATCTGTAGTAAACTAGAAATGGTCTTATCTATAACTTCTATGATTAATGTGATATTAAAGAGGTCACATTCACCTTTCCTTTTGAGAAATCACATATCCATCTAGGACTCTGAGGTTTAAGCACCAGCTGACAATGTACGGCCGATAGTCAAATCCTGGAATGGAAGGTGTTGCCATCACACAAGGGTTGTTCATGATCGACAACTGTTCCAATTCAGTTAAGGATGCCAAAAAAGAGATCTGGAACAAAAGATATCTTTGTTGAACAAAGTGAACTATTCAGTGTCAAGCACAGGGTTTCCGCTGATTACACATCTTTGGCAGTATTTGAGATTGCAACAATTTCCCTCTTGTTCTAAAAATGACAAGTGTCTTCTATTATCCACTGACTTCTAAAATGCCAAGAATATGGCCATCAGTCCCTGCTACACAAAAATCCCTTAGAAAGTATAACACTGTTTTGCAGCACAGAGAATTCTATTTTGAAATATAACAGCAGCAAGGTGGACAATGTGCCTTATTAACCACTATAGTGCAGCTGTCCCATTACCACCAATCACCTCCCAATAGAATAATTATAGCATCACAAATGAAATTAAGCTCTATAACCTACTGATATTAAGGAAAAGTAGAAACAAAAATTACTGATCATCTCTAGAGTCATATGAAAGGAGTTTCTTCCAAGATGCTTATAGTCTAAAAATAAGCTCACAACCCTCTCCTGTGTCCCTTTCACATTCTACCTGCCTGATTCCCACGGAATACTTGTAGAATTTACCTCATTTAAGTCTCGGATTTCATTTTCTGCCAAAGAAAGTATAGCAAGACTTCTGGGTAGATAAGCAGGTGCCATTCTAAGGGAGGTAATGATGTTTCCATGTAAAAGCAGGGTCTTGAAAGTAAAAACAGTATGAATTACAAATAAAAAGATTATAAATAAGTTGATCTATTGTGACAACATCAAAAGGGTGTATGTGAGAACTGAGATCTCTTTTATGATTGTACACAAATGAAAGACTGTTAATGCTAGAAGGGTTCCAGGTGATCTTCCAGTCTAATTTTCTCTTTTTATGCTGACATCTAAGCTTGAGAAAGTTTAAAAACTTAGGCCAAGCACGGTAGCTCACCTCTGTAATCTTAGAACTTTAGGAGACCAAGATGGGAGGACTGTTTGAGGCCAGGAGTTCAAGACTGCTTTACCAACATAGCAAGGCCCCATATTTTAAAAAAAAATAGAAAAATTAGGCTCTGTGCCTGTAATTCAGTGGCGAGGGTGCCAGCCACATACACCGGAGCTGCCGGGTTTGAATCTAACCCATGCTTGCCAAACAATGAGAACATACACAGGAGCTGGCAGGTTCGAATCCAGCCCTGGCATGCCAAACAATGAGAACTAGAACCAAAAAATAGCTGGGCACTGTGGCAGGTGCCTGTAGTCCCAGCTACTTGGGAAGCTGAGGCAAGAGAATCACTTAAGCCCAAGACTTTGAGGTTGCTGTGAGCTGTTAATGCCATAGCACTCTGCCAAGGATGACATAATGGGACTCCGTCTCAAAAAAATAAAAAAAAGAGGGCAGCACCTGTGGCTCAGTGAATAGGGCGCTGGGCCCACATACCGAGGGTGGCAGGTTCAAACTCAGCCCCGGCCAAACTGCAACAACAACAACAAAAAATAGCCAGGTGTAGTGGCGGGCGCCCGTAGTCGCAACTACTCAGGAGGCTGAAGCAAGAGAATCGCCTAAGCCCAGGAGTTGGAGGTTGCTGTGAACTGTGATGCCACAGCACTGTACAGAGGGCAATAAAGTGAGACTCTGTCTCTAAAAAAAAAAAGAAAAAGAAAAATTAGCCGGGCTACATGGTGTGTACCTGTAGCTCCAGCTACATGACAGATTAAAGCAAGGAAAATCACTTGAATGCACAAGTTTGAAGTTACAGTGAGCTATGATGATGCCACTATATGCTAGCCCAGATGACAAGAGCGAGACCCTGTCTCTCCAAAAAAAAAATAATAATAATAAGGCCAGGTGTGGTGGCTCACACCTGTAATCCTGGCACTCTGGGAAGCTGAGACAGGTGGATTTCCTGAGTTAGAGCAAGACCCCTTCTCTATAAATAACTGGACATTGTGGTAGGGGCCTGTAGTCTAAGGTACTCAGGAGGCTGAGGCAAGAGGATAGTTTGGGCCCAAGAGTTTGAGGTTGCTGTGAGCTATGATGACATTCTACTGAGGATGACAATGTAAAACTCAGTCTTAAAAAAAAGGGAGTGGTGCCTGTGGCTCAGTGAGTAGGACACCAGCCCCATATACAGAGGGTGGCGGGTTTGAACCCAGCCACAGCCAAACTACAACAAAAAAATAGCCAGGCATTGTGGTGGGTGCCTGTAGTCCCAGCTACTTGGGAGGCTGAGGCAAGAGAATTCCCTAAGCCCAGGAGTTGGAGGTTG